TCTTAGTCTGAAGCAGTCTTTTTGCCCTGGAATTGTATTTTTCAATAGTTTCTTTATCTTCACTTGAGTCATCTCAGCCCCAGAAGAGGAATGGATTGGCTGAATTCTGCTGACTTGTTGCTACCCAGCTCTGTTGATATGGACATTCGTAGGGTGGGGATGACAGGGGATTACCAAGCAGTTGCTGAGTGATAAACTGAACTGAGGCAGCCACAAGCAGGATGCAAAAAAAGAACCACTGGGACACATTGCCCCATTGCTCTGAACCAGCTGTCTGTGTGAGGGCCTGCTGGGAAACGGGGGGAAATCTAGAGTTCTCTCTTCAACAGAGTTGTTAAGGACAACATGAGTCAGAAGCATAATTCCAAAGGTTTGGGATTGTCTAGTTTTGGTGGGGGTAGTGGGGGTGTTACACATTTTATAGTGATTGACTTACTGGAAATTCAACATCATGGAAACAGAAATGTAGGGAAAGAATTCTCAATATGTTCTGGGAAGGCTCCCATTCATGGAATTGGTTTGGCAGACAAATAGCTTCCAGGAATACCAACCAGATTTACATGGCAAGATGCGGATGGTTGATAGCTTCTTTTCCTGCAACCTAGTTATGGTGGGGACTTCCGACCCAGGGCAGGGGCCACCTCTGCATGATCCTCCATCTCCTTCATTCTTGGCTTCTTACACAGTGGCCTAGAAGGAATTTCTCTTTCTCATCTGTGCATGTTCTTTCTCTCTCCCCTTTCCTTTTAGATGTAACTAGTAAGATTATTAATAGTTATTATTCAAGAAACTTGAGATGTTAACCGCGTTCTTAGGAAATGGTACGAGATCTGTTTGCTTATCCCTAGACCAGAATAACTGCAAGTACAAGCTATTTTTTATTCCCTGTCCTCCACCTTCCTTTTACCCTGTTGTTACTCCAGTTAATAAGTAAATGACCCTTTTGAATGGAAACAGGTTCAGGAATGTTCTTTAAAGACATAACCTTTTGTAATGTGGATTTTCTTTTAAGACAGGGAAGTTTTATATAAAAGAGAAAGATATAATTCTGCTAGGTACTAACTTTGTTGCTTACTCTAGGACCAAAATATATATTAATTCCTATACACCTGTATGCTGTCAGCTATGCCTAGAATAGGTGCATGTGTGTATATAAATCACAACTGTAGTTTGTGGATTTATGTTTTGAATACAATTATTTTTATTTGAATGGTGTTCAGTGTTTGATTTAGAAGGCAGCATACATTATTCAAGATTATTGGCTGTTCATAAAGCTCTGCATAATGACTTTACACGTAGTATGTGTACGTCCTGCTCTGGACCTCGACAGGAATGTGGTGTTTCTGCAGAGACACTCTGGTCTTTTCCTTGACAGTGAGCCACAGAAAGCTTTCCCAAGTTCAGAGTGCCAACTTTTACTTTAGGCCAGTGGATTTAGTTTCCTAAAACCCCTTTCTCACCCTCCTTTAAAAAATACACACGACTTAGTTTATTAAAATCTGACTCGTAAATTTAGAAATGCTTTAAAAGAAGTTTCTGAGAAGCAAGCCCACTCCACATCCACCATATGTGGTTGTTTCTGTTAAGCGTTGTCCCATTTCTTTGTAGAAATGTCAGCCTCTTCTTTCTCTTCTATTTGTCCTTGACTGTGGACATTGGATTGTCCTATCTCAAGTTTAAAATGCAGCCACATTTCAACATGAAAGCACTGGGTGGCTGGTTTTTTTCTTAAAGCCCCATCTGAATCTGTATCAGCTCTCTGAGCAAGATCGAGGTGCTGCCTAGCAGCACTTGCCCCGAGATGTTCCTGTCTTGCCAGACTTCTAAGGGGTGAGCCATTTCTTCCCTTCCTTCCTCCCTCTCTTCCATGGTATTTATTTTTTTATTGAGGTATAATTGACATAAAACATTGTATTAATTTTAGGTGTACATCATAATAATTTGATATATGTACATATTACCCAGTGATTACCACAATACATTTAGTTAGCATCCATCATCACAAATAGTTACCTTTTTTTTTTAGTGTAAGCCATTCACTTTAAAAGACTACTGACAAAGCCTAATTATATTACCTGGGAGGACTAACTGAACACAAATTGGTGTTCCAGAGACATAAGCCTTTAAAAGTTTATTTCCTTTTATTATTAAAGTATATGTGTTCATTGAAGAAAATTTGCAAAAATGAAGAAAATAAAAATCACCTGTAATTCTTCAGTTTATTGTTAACATTTTATTGTGCTTATTTCCTGGTTGTTTATTTGAGTAGAATTAAGTATTATTCCTATGGCTTTAGGAATAATTATATATTATTCCTAAACCTGGTTTTTCCTTAAGCCTCATAGGACTTTGTGATTCTATGTCTTAGCTAAATTTCATAAAGGAGGAGTGATTATGGATATTTTTCCATGTCATTAAATAATAAAAAATGACTTCACATGCAGTGGTAAGAAATAATATACAGAGATTCATGTACCATTACCCAGTTTCCGCCAAAGATAATGCTATGCAAAAGTGTAGTGCATACAACCAAGTTCCTGACAGTGATGGTCAAGATACAAAACATTCCCATCACCACAAGGACTCTTCCTGTTGCCTTTCCCTCACTCCACCCTGAACCCTGGCAACCCCTAATCTGCTCTTCAGTTTTATAATTTATTCATTGCAAGCATGCTATATATATGGAATTACACAGTATGTGACTTTTGGGGATTGGTGGTTTTCATTCAGCCTAATTCCCTGGAGATTTGTCCAAGCTGTTACCCATATCAGTATTTTGTTCCTTTTCATTGCTAAATACTATTCCATTGTATGGCCATATCACACTTTATCCACTTATCAGTTGATGGATATTTGGGTTGTTTCCACTTTTTGACTATTTGGAATAAAGCTGGTATGAACTTTTGTGTGAACTTGTTTCATTTCTCTGGGATAAATGCCCAATGATATCATTTGAATGATGACATGATATTTCATTGTATAACATTGTTTTTATTGCATGAAATGTGTCATTTATTTAGCTTGTTATTTCTGTATCGATTGTTACACTCCCCTGCCAATTTTTTTTTGCAGTTATAAATATCACTGATGAGAATTTTATAGGTGTTAATGTACATTTTTTTGTGCAATTTATTTGTTGTTGACACTGTTACAGATGTCCCCATTTTCCTCCCCTTTGCCCACCTCTACCCAGCCCCCATTAATGTACATATTCCTAGAAGTGAAATTGATGCCTCAGAGTATGCAGAATTTTAAAGCTTTACTTTTTTCCTTAGTTTCTCTCTTTTCCTGTCAGCTGTATATGAAAGGGCTCATTTCTCATACCCTTGCCAACATAGAGCATTGTTACTTTAAGAAATATGTACATTTCTGCCATACCCCCTCCCCCGCATAACAGCATGCACTTACTGCTTGATTCTTAGTTTACTAGTCCCACTTCGCCTAAGAAAATCTTTCAGAATAGCAGAGATTCCACCAAAGATCTTGTCTTTGCATGAAGTTTAGGAGGCTGCTGAAGTAGTTTTATAGCACCTCAGAGGATTTGGTATAAGATGAATACAAAGAATTTTTTTTTTAATCCTCACCTGAGGATATTTTTTCATTAATTTTATTTTTTTTAAATATAGAGTGGAAAGGAGAGAGAGCGAGAGAAACATCAATGTGAAAGACACATTGATTGGTTGCCTCCTGAATGATCCTGACCAGGGCCAGGGATCAAACCCATGACTCTTTGGTCCACTGGCCGACACTAACCACTGAACCAAACCGGCAAGGGCTGAATACAAAGAATTGTAAGAAATCACTCTGAGTCCTCCTGTTCTTATGTGTTGTCTTCTATTGTGCCTTATCCTAAGAAGTAGACAAGGGCGGGCTGCCATTGCTGATCACCTTAAAAAGAGAAAAACAAACCTTCGAGATGTGAATCACTTGATACAAAGGCTGACTACTATAAACATTATAGGTGAGAGTGTGTTAGTAGTGTGTCTTATGCAGAGAGAAGAAAGTTAAGTATGGTCTTTCAATGGAATTGTTGTAAGTAGGCAGAGTTGGTGAGATGCTTTTTTTCCCCTCCTCCTTACACTTAAGTGTTTTAGTGTTTCTTTCTGTGTGACTAAGCAGTGATTTTGAAGCAATTAAGACAGGGTTAAGAATATGTATCTACCAAAACTTGGAAAATGTATTTATTTGTGTTTTCTGAGATAAATGAAATCTTTGGTAGAATTCTACTTTTTGGTAGAATGTGGCAAACCCGTTCCTCCAAATGTAAGACATGTTTTTCTCTTTTTGTGTTTCAAGATCTGTAATTGTTTCTCCTTTACCTATGCTACGATAGTTAAGATGAATCAGGCTGGTTTCAGTAAAAATTGTTTTACTCTTAGAATGGCAGATCACTTTTCTTGAAGGTTGGGTGATTTCAGAAGAAAGTGTGCTTACTAACTTGTTAGGTGCTGCTTTAGCATCGTCTGGCAAAGAAGGATGTCCCAGAAGAATCTTTGCCTAGGAAGTGGACTAGGAAGGGTGACTTAAGCTACTCTGAAAGAATATGGTGTTGAGGGTGAAGAAATGCACTCAGCAACAGCAGACCTCAGACTACATTGACTCAAGCGTTTGATTCTAATGTGAATAGTTTTAGGAGACAAGTCAGCATCCCTAGGGGAGAGAGAGAGAGAAACATTGGTGTGAGAGAGACACATGAACTGGCTGCCTCCTGAATTACCCCAATAGAGGCTGAGGGTCAAACCTGCAACCCTTCCGTCCTAAGGATAGGTACATGCTCTTGACCGGAATCGAACCCACAACCTTTCAGTCCTCAGGCCAACACTATATCCACTGAGCTAAACCATCCAAGGCAACAGTATATTTCTTGGTAAAATTAAATGAGGTGGAAATTTAAAAATTTCTTTGTCCTCTTCAGTGGCAGGTTATATTTTGTGGATTATTATACCTTTGTATGACTCTGGAAGAACTTGCTGACACATTTTGTCTTCTTTTTGGATTAGGATAACATTTAACAGAGGACATGCCTTTGCCTGATGTGAGTGAGTAGTCCTATTCTAAATCTGTATTGAAGTGTGGAGGCTTCATATGACTTACTAGTGCATAATATTATGTTTGACACTGACCCATTTGTGAACAAGAAATTGAATGAGTTCACATTCACTTTTTATTATTGTGTTTGAACAACAAATTATTGTTACGGTTTAGGTTATAAAGTGTATTTTGATCACCTTGAGGACATGCTAGTTTCACAACTGTATTAAGGGCTGACCATTTGGCCACTGTTGTGTGTGATTACATTTTTGTTTCCTGCTGTGACATGAGGGGTAGGGGTAAAATCCCATAAAGATAGAACAGCCTGTGAATTCAGCCAGAAAAAAACCCAGCCAGCCTGGATGTTTTAGGTCCCCTTAAGTTTTCGAGGGTTAGTTTTTGTTGCTTTCTTGTTTGTTTGGTCTGGACCCTTATTTAATATCTAGAGAACTGTCTTAGCTCTCTGGTTCATCCCTGTAGAGATGCTCTCATGTGCCACATCTGAATGTTGTGAGTAGGTGGTAAATTTGAGACTTCTCCCATTTTGTTGTGACATGGCTCACCTGTGGATTTAGAATGGCCCAATAAGAAGAGAGAAAAGGGTATTCAAAGCCAAGTGCTCTGTTTTGCAGATTTTTTTGTCATACTGTGCCACAGGGACATGACCTCTTGGTTTTACAATTTTTATTTTTAAGTTAAAGATGTCACGTAGGGCAAAATAAACTTTTTAATTGAGGTAGGTGAAGTTCATACACACTCTTTTATTATGAAGATTCTTCTGTTTACTGCTAATTTTTGAGCACCCGCTTTGTATCAGACACTGTGCTAGGCCCTTTATATATAATGTTTCTTGTTTCTTAAAACAGGAAACAGGTTTAGATCAATTAAAACCTTACCCAAACTGGCATGCGGTAAATACAAGGGGGATTTCAGATCAGATTACCTTAATTTCACAAGTGGTTCAAGGATGATTAGAATTACCCTAGAAAGAGAAGATGTGTTTGGTTTAGTCTAGGGAATATCAGTATGTTTTCTGTTTTGATTACCTGCTTAGGTAAAGTGAGGGGCCAGGTCAGGAGAGTGGAGGGGGCGAACATGGAAATGCAGCATGAGGGTGAGGCAGGGCAGCTAATAAGAAGAAAATTAGGTGGAAGGGAAAAGTTACAGATGCAAATATTTTGTAAAATATGGTACTTTCACATCACTCTAAAAGACCAGAAAAATGTTTTATCTTGTAATGTGAGTATGTGATACTTGATAATTAATTACTTTGCAAAATGTCTGTGGTGAAATGTTTTGGATAGTTTAATGTAAGAATTACAAGTAAATTAGGATAGTTTGTGCCACAAAGCAACTTTACTCTGAAACAGAACAATTATAAATTTAAAAGAGGTGGGGCCAGATCAGAAAACAACTCATTTGGTAGGTAGTAAGGGTTTGAAGGCAAGTTCTATGTAGTTTGGTAGGAGGCTGATCAGAGTCTCTTCTTTGGTTGTCAACAATGTTCATCTTAGTTAATGACTAATTGGTGCTCTTGCCTAGAAATCCAGACACTCTGGAGATGAGAAGTTCTTTTTGAAACTAATTCCACAGTACATCACCCCTTTTGTTCACCACCACAGACTGTACCCTGGCTCCTCTTCCCCAGGGCGGTTCATTGGCACATCTGTCTGGTAGGGCGTTTTCTGCATAGTAATCAGGCCTCCACAATTGTGACATTCCTCCCCCTCCCCCTAAACTCTGGGTTCTTGACACACAGTGGTAGAACAAGAGTCAGAAGGAGAAAAGGAAAAGAAGTCATTTCAGATTTGATGTGTCTGTACAGTTCTTCCACTCTGTGATTAAGGAAACTCTGTTGACAACGTCTCCTTCCCAGGAAGCAGCCTTCTGAACAGGCAAGGTCAGAGAGTCGACAAACTTTCTCTGGTGCTTTTACCAGCCTGTCCTACTTTTACCAAGGGCTTAGTGACCAGTCTGCATGTTTTGAATGGTTATAATGTGTATTTTGATCACCTTGAGGACATGCTAGTTTCACAACTGTATTAAGGGCTGGCCATTTGGCCACTGTCGTGTGTGATTACATTTTTGTTTCCTGCTGTGACATGAGGGGTAGGGGTAACATCCCATAAAGATAGCTCAACAGGAACACATTGAAGGAAGGCAATGCTAGTTCAACCAGCAAGTGCCCATGTTCATTTTTTGTTTTGTTACTTAAAAGAAAAACAAACAAACCTCTGGGATATTGATATTTAGGAGCAAGGTGTTGTCATGAGTTCTCAGACTCATGGAATTTAGAACTGGGTTTTTTGATGATTAACTTATGTGTTTTGTCTTTCATATCCAAAAGGGGATACTTAGGATGTAAGATTTTTTTTTTTTTAATCACGAATTAAAATACTATAGAACAATACTATTTTCTACATTCTCTTCTTCAGAAATTTGCTTCACTAACATTGTGTTTTCTGGTTCTGGTAAGGTTGCATGTCCTTAAAGTGGGATTGGAAGATGCATTTGTTTCTAACCCTTTTTGTGTTATTCTGTTCAGATGCTCAGGGGATTGTGGATAAATTCTCCACAGTGTGCAGTCTCCAAGGCCCAAGGGAGTCCCCATATTCTTATTTTTTCGGTCATCCTGACACATAGTAAGATATAAACATCTTTTAGGGGCACACAGGTTAAATGTTTTGGATGCTTTACCTCAGATGCTAAGGAAGAAATTTATTCATTCGTTCCATAAATGCTTAATGGCATCTACTACATGTAGGGCACTGAAGTGCGTATTCTGTAACAGTGGATTATCCTAGAAGAATGAATCTTGCTCATCACCAGTTCCTCAGTTCAGCCCAGCAGCATTTTGAGAGTTGATGGCACGTCTAACCTTCAAGTCCTGCCATTTTCCGAGGACCTTGGGATCATAGGATGACAGAGTTGAAAGATATGTAGAAATTCTAGTTCAGTTCCTTTATTTGATTCATCAAGAATGATGTAGAACTATATTTGCATACCTATCATCTCAAGATCACCTGAAATTTCTCTATTTTGAACCCAAGTATCTGTTTTATACCCTGGATCATCTTTAAAATGCTTGAGCAGGGTGAAATCTCCATCTCAAGTTCAGCCCCTTGGAAAACAGATACATGGATAAATGGACACTCCTACTTAAAGATGATTGAGAACTGGCTATCACAGACCTGTTTTCTGGTATTACAAGTAGTTCTGCCAAAGGGCTTATTCTAACTGGAAATTCTCTTTTTTTCCCCCAAGAGGGAAATGGAACATGAACTGGACTAGAGAAACAACCTAAACTAAGTGTAAGGATTCTCAAAGAACTTTTCAGAACTTTTTGGGTAAAAAAACAAACAAACAAACCCCCAAACCCAACCCTTTCCTGATGCTTCTGCAGTTTCTCTATCAAAACAAAATCCAGAGACAAAACACTGTAACAGAAATCGGGAAACCAAATATCCTACCTGCTAGCCAGCTCTATGGGTTCTGAACGGAGTGTACCATTTAGGATCCCTTTTAACAGTCTTTGGGTTTATTTGAAAACCACTCTGGCTTGTTTATAAGTGGCAAACAATTTAAAAGCTCTTTTTGGCTTTGGTACTTTTATAGGATTTAGCATTTCTAGCAGTCAGTTATTCTAAAAGTTTGAAGAGAAACATGCTATTTTCAGAGAGAAAAAATAAATAAAAAGCTTAATTTTTAATTTTTCTTTACACCTGCCCTCCCAGGGTTAGAAAACTAGCTCTAAATTCCCTGGACAGATTTGTTTCGACCTTAAGTTATGCTCAAGCAGTTAATGCTCTTCATTGTAGAACACGTTTCCTTTGTTCGCCCTGAGGTGGCCAGCCTGCTCCCACCAGCTGCAAAGGTTTGCCAGCCAGAGCTCAAGGTTGTGCCTTAATCCAAAGGGACAGTTACCAGAGGACGTGATGCAGAAGAGGTTATTGGAGGTTAGTTCTTAAATGTCTTTAAGATCAGCCTACTGTAGTTCACATTCAGTAAAGCGATGGTTTTAACTGGTAAGCTGAGTAAATAGATTATCTCTAAGCCTTACTATTTTTAGCTTTTCTTCTGAAATGAATGGTGAGTCGTCACGTCACTTCCAAAAGGTTTCATTTCAGTGAGTGCTTAGAGATGACTCGGGTCCCCGGAGTTGTTCCCAGGAGAAGGCTGTGGGTAGGAATGGTTGTTCTGACTGAGGATGATATCCAGCATTCATGGAGAGGTGCCAGGGTATTTCCTACCCGGGTATGGACAGGCCTGGGAATTCTGGTTCAGGTTTAGCTACTTAGTACCTGAGTGTCTTAGGGCAAAGTTGTAAAGCTCTGGGTCTTGATCTGTTTAGTTTTAAAATTAGCTGAAATACTCTGTCCTGTCTACTTCTTTCATGGTGGTGGTGAAAATACAGTATTGAGATTGAAGGTGGTATTGTTAAGGGGGAGGTGGAAGGCTGAGTACCATATAGCCAAGTGAATTTGTAACACACTATGGATCATCTTTAGGTCTAAGTATTTTGTGTTTCTGAGTCAGCCACGTGGGCCACAAAGTGACCTCTTATATCTAAAGGCAGTTGTGTTTTCAGCTCTTTCTTCACGCCACACCCCTTTAGTGGAGGTGCATCTCATTGCAGGTCCTTCGGTTGTAGCTTAGGGCCTGACAACACAGTACTTACATGCTGGTATCCTGCCTGTGAACTCAGCTGTTGACACAGGGCTGCTTGTCGCCTAAGCTTGAGTCCTTTTGTTAAACTCAGAAGATACACATATTGAATTAGAAAACACACACAAACACACATTCACACACTTTTGAAAAGAAAAAAGTTGGGGGAAACCTATTGTAACCCCTCTTAATTTATGTGAGTTCCTTGCAAATCTGGTCATATGCACTTAGCTGCATTAAGAAATGTTCTGCTCTATGTTTGATGTGTTTTGTTTTTATCTGGACATAGGCTTTATATTGATTATTTTTACATTATTACTTTTAATAGGGCAGGTACTGGATGAATTTATAATTTAACTATCAGCCTGTTGGAGAGCTCCTTTTTAAAAATTTTAATATTATAGTTTTTACTTTTAGCATTTTAAAAGGACTGAATCTAAGAGTTGCAGGAATTGCTTAGGTTCTAACTATGGACCCCTGATCAGGAACTCATAGTCAATTTGCTATACAGAAATTTGCCCCAAAGAAAGGCAATAGAATTAAAAGGAGGATTCCGTGTTCTTAAGTCTATACAAATGAGAGTCATGAGACTGGAACGCTCAGCCTAATAGGCTGAGTCGAAGGGGGAAAGAGAATAAAGTACTGGTTTATGTGTGTGTTTTGATGTTTGAGGGAGAGAGAGAACACATTCCTGTTCTGTGGTCTTTACAAATATACATAAGTGATAGGGGTAGGGTTGGGCAGAATCTGAAGCATATAAAGACAGTTTAAACAATTGAGAGACTCTCCATATTTTTCTTACCCTTGTAACATTTTTCTTACACTTTTGTTCCCGTCCCCCCTCCCCTCACTGCCACCACCACCACCACCACCACCACCAGTGTGTAACCCAAAGAATAAGAATATGAAGACTGTTTTTCTACAATCCTGATGCTTGAAGCATTTGGATAATTTCACAGTGAAATAAAATTTTCTCTCTCTTTAAAAAAACAAAAATATGGCCCTGGCCAATTTGGCTCAGCGGTTGGAGCGTTGGCCTGTGGACCAGAGAGTTCCGGGTTCGGTTTCCGCTAGGGGCAGTACCAAAAAAAAACAAAAACAAAAACAAAAAACTACGGTGATTAAAAAAAATAGAACTGTGGAAAAATTTAATCAAATTTATTGAGTTGTAGACCTAGCCAGGTGGCACAGTTGGTTGGAACGTCGTTCTGTACACCAAAAAAGTTGTGGTTTCGATTCCAGTCAGGCTACATGGTTTCAGGTTCGATCCAGGGTTGGGACATATATGGGAGGCAGCCAATTAATGTTTCTCTCTCTCTCAAATCAATTTTTAAAAAACTATATCCTTGGGTGGGGATTTTAAAAACAATTTATTGAGTTGTATTATTTGACTACAATAAAACTTAACCAATTTAAGTGGAAATTTTGAGTTTTCATAAATAGGTACAATTGTGTAACTGACACCACAATCATATTATAAAACATTTCAAACATTTTCATCACTATAAAGTCTCCTAGTGCCCCCTTTTCATTCAGTTTCCTTCCCCTACTCCTGCCCCACCCCTCACCGCAACATCTGAGCTGCTTTTTACCTTTTCTAGAATTTTATATAAACAGTCATATTGTATGAAACCTTTTGTGTTAGTTCCTTTCATTTAGCATAGTCCATTTGAAATTTATCTATGTCTTTTATCCCTGGTTTATTCATTTCAATTGCTAAGAAGTATTCCATTGTATGAATATGCCATTATATAAATATATCACAATATTTTATCCATTAATGGACATTTGGATTATTTACAGTTTTTTACTATTATGAATAAAACTTCTGTGAATATTCATGTTGAAGTCTTTTTGGGATATATTTTTACATTTCTTTGGGGTTAATATCTAGGAACAGGATTTCTGGGTCTTATGTACAGACAGAGTATGCTAACTTTGAAGAAATTGCCAAACTACCAACTGCAAAATCAGCAGTGTATGAGAGTTCTAGTGTTCCCTCCACCCAGTTATAATTGTCATTCATTTTACTTTTACCTGTTATTGAATGTACTTAGTGTGTATTGGTAGATATGTTGTAGTGTTAATTTGTATTTGCTTAATACTGTTAAGCATTTTTTCATGTGCCTATTTGTAATTTGTGGATTTTCTTTGATGTTTGTTGAAATCTTTTGACTTTAAAAAAATAGGAATAGTTGTGTTTATACTATTCAATTGTAATAGTTCCTTATGTATTCTGAATACAAATCTTTCAGAAAAAAATTTTGCAAAAATTTTCTTCCTGTGTGTGGATTCCTTGTTCCTTTTCGTAGTGTCTTTTAAAGAGCAAGTTTTAAGTTTTGGTCAAGTCCAGTTTCTGCATTTTCTGTCCTAAGAGGTTTCTGTCTAATCCAAGGTCAAAATGATTTTTTTCTGTTTTCTTCTACAAGCTGCATAGTTTAGCTCTTAATTCTAAGTCTCTGATCCATTGGGAGTTAATTTTAGTATATTGTTCATTTAGTCATTGAATCACCTTGACATCTTAATATATTTCTGGACTCTGTTCTGTTAATCTGGATATATTTCTTATACCAATACCATACTATCTTTATTACTTTAACTTTATAGTAAATCTTGAAATCAAATAGTGTAAGTCTTTTAATTTAGTTCTTTTTTAAAACAGTTTGGACTGTTCCAGGTCCAGCCTTCTTAAATAACTTCCAGCAATGTTTCAGATGTTTCAGAGTACAGGTCTTGTGCATCTTCTGTAAGATTTATACCTAAGTATTTCATACTTTTTATTTCTAGTATGTAGAAATACAATTGGTTTTTGTATATTGACCATATTTTTTGCAGTTTTGCTAAACTCAGGTATTAGTTCTAATATCTTTTTTGTAGATTTCTTAGAATTCTCTACTTTGACAGTCACATTTGTGAATAAAAAGAGCTTTCTTTCTTTAATATATATATGTTTTTAAATTTATTTTTCTTGCCTTATTTCATTAGCCAGAACTTTTAGTACACCATTGAATAGAAATGGTGAGAGCAAGATTCTTTCCATGTTCCCAATCTTAAGGGAAAACATTTAATCTTTTATTATTAAGTATGATATTAAGTGTAAGTTTTTTATATGTGCCCTTTACAGATTGAGGAAGTTTCTTTCATTCCAAGTTAATTGAATGTTATTATTTTTAAAAATCATGAATGGGTACTGAATTTTTCCAGATTCTTTTTTATATTTATTGAGATGATCATATGGATTTTTTTCCCCCTAGTCTTTTAATATGAAATGCATTGGTTGACTTTCAATGTTAAACCAACCTTGAATTCCTGGGGTAAATCCCACATGGTTACACAAAGATATTTTTTTGTGTGTGTTGCTAGATTCAAGTTGCTGAAATTTTGTTAAGGATTTTTGTGTCTATCTTCATGAGGGATCTGTATCCTGTACCTTTCTTTTATATCTTTATCTGGTTTTCATATCAGGGTAATGGGTGGTATTGAATTGCAAATTGTTCTCTCTTCTGCTTTCTAGTAGAATTTGTATGATCTTTTTCTTAAATTTTTGGTAGAATTCAGTAGTGAATTTTTCAAAGCCTGGAGTTTTCTTTGTGAGGTTTTTAACTACTAACTCACTTTAATAGATATAGTGCCATTATTGGCTTTTCTATTTTTTTTCTGTAGTGGGTTTTGGTATCTGTGTCTTTCAAGAAATATGTCCATTTCATCTAAGTTGCCAAACTTATAATCATAAAGATGCTTATAATATTCCTTTTTAAAAAAAAAAAAAATATGTATATGATCTGTAGTGATTGTTTTTATTCCTAATGTTGATAATTTGTCTTCTCTCTCTTTTTGCTCTTTATTAGTTTGCCTACAACTTTATGATAGTATTGATGTTTTCAAAGAATCAACATTTGCTATCATTGAATTTTCTCTTTTGCTTTTATACTTTTAGTTCCCTTAACTTCTGTTTATTATTTCTTTTTTTCTGCTTGTTCTGGGTTTAATTTGCTCTTTTTCTGGTAACTTAAGATGAAAGCTTAGATCATTTATTTGAAACCTTTCTTCTTCCCCAATATAAACATTTAAAGCTATAAATTTCCTTTTGGCAACTGCTTTAGCTATATCCAACAGTGTTAGTTTTCACATTCAGTTAAAAATCTTT